GATATGAAACAAATTTTTTTAAGTTTTATATATACATTTGAGTAACTAAAAATCATAAATTACTACATCAATACCACAGAATTCCACATTAATTTATCAAGCTTAGTAACGAAGATGCATGTTAGTTTAAAAAATTATGAAATTTTGAGCAGACTAAAGACACACCCTACCTCGGTGAAATATTGGTTCAGAAGAAAGAAATGGCATCCAAGCCCTTTAAAATGGCTGAGAAAGCCACTAAGGTGACATTCTGAGCTTCCGAATGGTTACTCATATGTCATATACTGAAGTAATTGTATATAAAGGAAAGAGTTGAGAGGAGCCACTGTGTTTGAGTCAGTACATGAGTGATATCTCAGCAAATAGAAAAGACGAGGTTCTTATTTTATATTCTAGCTTGTCAATATTGGTAATCTGAATTCCTAATTCGTACAAAACTATAAACTTAGTATTCTGACATCACAAACATCTAATTTGAATCAGTACTGCATTAAACATACCATGTGACACACACAAAATTGATGTTTAACCATTTTTTTTATATTTACTTTTAAATTAAGAAATTGAATAATGTATAATACTAGCATTTGAATTATAATCTACTGTTTGATACCATACTTATCGATATGAATTAATGAAATATTAGTCCAATAAAATTTTGAATGCTAGTCAACAAACGTGATGACATGGCCTTTTACCCATGACCCACCTCGAAAGGTTTAATAAATTATCAGCGAAACAGTCACATGCATTTAAAAATTCCAGCCAATTTCAAAGATAAAACTGTTGAATATTGGATCAAATTTTAATATATGCCAGAAAGTCAAAATCTCCAAGAAATACAACAATCCAACTTAAATTAATGTTTTTAAAAAAGCACCTTGTTAATAGTGACAATGATATATTTGGGAAAACTGAACACTTAATTGAAGAAATGTATGAAGATTTAAAATACAATGGCATAAGAACTGCTACTCATACTTCTCAAGAGTGACAAATGTGCAATGATTAAGAAAACAGCAATAATTTCAAAATGTTCTTGTTGCTAAATAATCTAGATCACATAAACATGAACAATTTACACTTGAACATGTGTGGAGCTATGTGGACAGCAGCACAGTTCTGCATTATATGGATGAAGATCAAGATTTTAGATGTTAAAAAAGTGTGGTTGACAAACAAATCAATGTTCTGATAGATGCTGCACTGGTGTTCAAAAGTTTCACACAAATATGTGCTGCTTTGACCCTGAATTATACCATAACAAACTATAATAAAAAAAATGACTATGAATGTGATTAATAGACCTATTCTAAAAAAGTCTGTACATGACCAATTTTGTTAAGTTTTAAAATTTTGTTTGGAATATATCATTCAATGTATCTTTTAAAAAAGAACTCAAAAAAGTGCTGACTCAGCAGTATTTATGTGCTTAAAGATTGTTTGTGTTAAGGTGACCGAGTTATTTTCAAGAAGCATTACTTATCTATTCATCTCAGACATTATGACAAAAGCAGATTTCAACAACATTTATATACCTGAAATGAAGTGTTACAAAACTTAAAAAAAATTCAGAGATCTTAAGCTGTCCTCTTATGATAACCATTACATCTTAGGTCTCATCCTAGTAGCCTTCTTTTGAATCCTTTCCAACAATTCAATGTCCTTCTTAAGATAGAGAGCTTAATAATGAGCACAATTGTCTAGTTCACTGGTTAGGTCTCATTTAGACTAAGATTTAGTTTTGCTTTTCTAACAGGATAACAGAGTGGTTGACTTTTGATGTGTTTATGCATTAAATTTAAGACTCAATAAATATTCTAATGATATTGGCTGGATCTGTAAGGTTTTTTTTTTTAAGTTTTGTTGTGGATGGGACAGCCTCAATGGACCAACAGTCCCCTTGCTGTTCTTAACTGTTATATTTGCTATACAACTAGCAACAGCAAATTGCTTGGATGGCTTAAAAGATTGATGAACTAAAATACAAAGATCCTTTTCTTCCATAACACTGTTGAGATTATCCACATGAAAGTGACCTACAAACCAAAATCACTACAAGACTATCATGAAAGCCAAAATGAATACAAGATCAATGCACACAGTAAGAAATTGACATTCTCATAAGTACTAGTAGTTTCAATTAATACTACCTTAGTGTACTATCAGAAATATTCACTCTTTCAGGTTGGATAAACCCTAAAATACACTAGATATAAAATATAGGAGCTAGACTACAGAGTAAAATATGAAACTTGTCTCATACAAGAAGGAAGTTTAGCAGATTCCAAACCCACAAAGATCTGACATAGCACAAGTTCAGTAATTACAACTGAAGAAAAACTTTTCAAAAAAGGAAGTAAATATAAGGATGGTTAATATCAACTCATCAAAAAGAATGCAAACAAGATAGTAGGAATGACATTTGCATCATCCTTACATAATAGCAGAGGCACACAGTGTAGTACAATGTCAACAGACAAAAATAAGATAAGTTAAACTCAATTATGATTGAATATTTAATTCTCACCCGTGTTCTGATGTAGGGATGATGAAAATGCCACCCCTACTATCTTGTTGGCATTGTTTTTAAAGGATTGATTTAGCCATCCCTACATTTGGTTGCTTTTTTAAAAGATTTTCTTGTTTGTTTTTAATGCAGTGTTTCAATAGACATGGGAAGATTGTATTTATAACCAAATTCTAAATACAATGAGGTTCCAATTGTAATATTTATTATCTATTATTGGCTGGTAATTCCTTTTTCACACTGTACTTAAGCATTTTAAAAGGGATAGTGATACCATCACTTACACTAGAATTGTGATTTTTTTTTATCACAACTAGGTATTATTAAATTGGTTGACATCACTGTTTTGGTTTTTGAGTTATGTACTAGAAAAGAAGCAAAAGAAAGAAAAACAAGAAATTCAAATTTTTTGCTATGATATTTACAGACATTCCTAGAACTTGCATAGATATTGTTATGAAAGGAAATACTGTAAGGTTCTGATGACCTATTGAGGATATATTTAAAATGCCATTTTGATGCACAATCCGAGCCATTCCTACACAGGCAATGCTACTGCCTGCCTGATTATTTTATCTACTTTATCCAAAACTTTATAGGCATTTATCACCTTTAAGTGGATTTCTAATTTATCAATAATCCTTTACTTCAAACAAGAAATGTTTACAGTATTAAATTAGACTATGTCAAATGCACCGAAGACTGTAAAACATAAGATTCAGTAAACATATGCCAATTATATTGTAGACACAAATCAGTCCATCAAATGTTAGAAAAACTCTCAAGAACTCTTACATAATACAACCATTACATTAATGATGTTTTCTTCAAACTAATATCCACTTGCTAAACTCAAACTTTTATATATAAAAAAAAAGGAGAGAGAGAAAACTTTAGTGCTCAGTAACAAAGTCATTCAAATATATATCATAATTCTATTTTAATATACATAAAAATAATTTTAGAAGTTCAGTTTTGCAAGAAAAATCGTGTAGTAACTAGACTGGAATGAAAAGTGATACACAAGTTACATCTAAGAAAAACAAATATTAGTTTTATAAACTTTTCATGTTAGATTTTTTTTTCATGAGATACTCGGGGACAGTTGGTAAATTGGTACAAATTTCAACTGAAATACTCTAATAAGTACATGTAGCACACAGAAACATGCAATATTCTCATGATAATCTAATTACATCAATCATAGGTAGATGCAATAACCTAAACATATCCTCACATTGTCTTGTTCTTGGAAGTTTTATTTCTGGAAATCAACTATGAAAAACAATTGTATTTTAGATGCATATATTTTGAAACACAAAGAGTCAAACTAAATTCACCATTTTAAGCACTTTCTCAAGAAGTATAGTTTAATAACCCCCATACATGTATGACAAAAAGATTAACCTCTAAAAATAACAAATTTTCCTAAACAAACAATCTTCTAGCCTAATTAAAATTATTTTTGCATATAAAATCATCTCTACAGTTTTTCTACTGATTTTGTAGTCAGATATGTAATGACTTCCTAACTTCAATAATGAACAAAATCAGACTTCCCAATCTTTTGTTAAAATGTTAACTTATACATTGATGTTGTTTCTTTAAATATTTGTTTATTTGAGATAGCTTAGATTTTACATAAATCTTTAGACTCAAGAACTTAAGACATTATTCAGGTTACAAAATTAAAGTTACCTGTACACAGTAACCTTTTCATTAAATATTCACTCACATCTAAAACCTGTGATTATTCTTTCACATATTCCATACACATCACTTAACAATATGTGTTATATTAAAAGAAGTGAAAGTGCTTGTTTAAAAACAAGCTTTTTTTAAGGCATTCAAAGCATGTCCTCTATCCTGTACATGTCCATCAAGACATACAAAAACTTCACCCGATAACTAAAGCAACAAGTACGAAACTACTGAAATAGATTGCACTGGAACAAATAATGTAAGAAAAAAATCTTTATTTATCAGGGAAAACACTTTATGAACTTAAAGTTTTTTAACCTTTTTTTTTCTTTCCATATTTGGCCTGGAAGCCAACACTAGGAAAAACATTAGGTTTTATCTGTCTACTTAAAAAACTTCCAATTTCTTTTCATAAATGCAGTTAAACTTAATAAATCAATTCATCTTCATAAAAAGCCAAAATCAGATCAGATGCATCAAACTAGCCCAGTAATTGTACAAATGCTTAAGTTATTTCAAAAAATGCATTAAATAAACATACAGAAGTATGAATAGTATATTTTTTCATTTTAAGTTTCCAAGTTTTTAAGACTTAAAAACCAACAACAATGTACTACCAACCAACAGATCTTGATAGTCAGGATGAAAAAAAAATATTTGTTACAGAGAGAGAGTACAAAAAATAATAATTTTGTCACTAAATTGCAAAGACTAAGCCAGTCTTCATACTACAAAAATTACACAGACAGTAACAAATACTGCTAAGTATATATACTACATGTATATAAGAGTGTAGCTATCTGCAAAAAAAAATTACTTCAAGTCTGTATTCCACATACTAAAGTTAAACAAGTATCACAGGAAGTCTGTAATAATCAAAATTATAATGCTACAAACATTTTTAGTACATTTTTACATAATGAACACTTTAAACAGAAGAAGCATTGTGACATAGTTCACAGGAAGTTTGAGATATTCTTAAATATTCATTACACATTGTTTTCAGGATTTAAATATAATACTTTTATTAATTTACATTTTCTATATACTGCAAATACACAGAATACCAACTTCAAGTTAAAATTTCATATACACACAACTAAAGTAAAAATTAGTTCTTTTCAAACAGTTCCAGACATAAGAGGATACAAGTTTAAGATTTGGGAAACATAAGCTACGGTCCAGTTAAGACAGCTTTATTTTTATAACACAGTAACTGGTTTATGTAATGAGTTGCCATTGTCAATACTGAAGGTTAGCATTTTATACAAGTTTAAGAAGGGAACTGATGATGTTCTAAAAAAATAATGAAGGCATGCTTATATTTCTTTCAAAAGTAGGTGTGCTAAGATAGATAGCTTTGAAGGACCAAATGGTATCTTGTTGTCCATATGTAGTTGCAGCGGGAAAAAACTTCTAAAGTTATTCTTAAACATATACTTTAAATAAATACATATTAGTTTTTAAATGTTCCAGAAATTAAGTTTTAGACTTTACTCATCCATTAAAGTTATGGAACTTCTACTCAAAAGTCCTACCAGTATACACTGAATTCACTGGGGCTTTAGTATTATATTAAGTTGCTTTAATAAATCAATAATCGGTTTAACATAAAATAAAATACAAGTTATCAAATATACCTACCTGTAATATTTTCTTTCATACAAAATAACACAGACATTTATTTTAATTGAGCTACTTGAGCTTTGGTTAAGAATCACTCTTCATTGTTATATTTTGTTATTGGTCACTGTGTTTGAAAAAATAATTTGGTAAGCTTGATAAATTCTATAATTTAAAAAAATTTACTCTTAGTTCAATAATGGCCTTCCTCTAAGTAACCTTTGATGCGAGCAGGTAGAGGAAGGTGCTGAATGTGGTCAAATCGAGTATATTGCCGTATCACAAATCTACATAAGTACTGCAAAGTACGTACTTGAGTGAACCTAGACATAGCTTTTGTTAAACGAACAGGAAAAGATGGCGACCCACGGTACCGACTGCGAGAATAACAAAACACTCCAGACTGAGAATAGTTCATGGACTGCTCAATTAAGTCCACAATTGATGAGTGGCCTTCTGGTTCTGGTTGAGCATAAAAGCTGAATAAACCATTACAGTGCTCGATACGAGTATGTAGAGTTCGTCCATAAGATCGAAAACTTAGACTAAGGAGGTAACGATCATCTGAACTGTCTCGCACCAAGAAAGCCCCATCTGGTTGATCAGAAAGTTTCTCTTCAGCTTCACTACGAGTGATTGGACCCCAGTACCAACCACATTTGGATAATTTGAACAATTCTTCTGTAATGCTCACAGTCTTGGGGCTATCAGGTACATCAGCATAAACATTAAAAACTGCTTGTTTACACTGGAATTCAGTGCATGATGAAGGCACATCCAAGGCTAGGCTTGAAGAATCTGGAGGGATTTCAGATGATTTTGAAACATTTAATTCATTTTTGCTTTTCTGCACTTTAACATGTAACTCAATTTTATTTTTCTCTATACTATTACTAGAAATGTTATTCAGATGATCCTCTTTGTTCCCTTGTATTGGGTGACTAGATGTACTGGGAGAAGAATAAGCTTTACTGTCTGGGAATTTGTCAACACACTTCTCAAGCTCAATTGTGGTACTATTTCTATTACTCGAAATATTAGTAGACTGCTTTGTTTCCATATTTTTAAAGAAATCATCAATGTTTTTATCACAACTACATGATACTGAGGTATCTGTACCACAGCATTTTAGGATAGGTTTGGAATTACAAGAACAGTTTGTACATAAATCTCTATCTGTAACTCCAGTAACAGGCCTAACTTCTTTAGGCTCTATTAAGCTTATGCCCACTTGTCTTACAGTTACAGTTTCATTTGTACTCACCGCTGATGCTGATTGATCACTATTTTCTTCATTCTCATATAAACTACTAGATTCACGGCGAACACAGTGAATAGGTGATGGCATTGGACACACTGCACCTCTAGTCAAAGATTTTGTTTGTTTTGAACGAGGCTTTTGAGAAGTGAAGCTAGAATTTTGGATCAAGCCCACTCCAACATCAGAATTTTCAGAATGTGGGATTTGACTGCGACTTATTCGAGAATCACACACCAAACTATGCCGATTCTCCCGTCGTTTCTTTCTCGTGCTTTTACGCCACTTCCACCGCAAGGCTGTCAGTATAGTCTTTTTTTTACCTTTGCTTCTATTCTGTGTCAAACCTTTTTCATTGCTGCGTTCTGTAACATTAACAGTACAACTGGCTGGTTCACACTCACTTTCAAAGCTCGATTTTTCAGTTTCAGCCTCTTTATTAAGCTTGCCGAGGGCGTCGCCATTTGCATGGAGACATCCTGAGCCACCAAGTTGATGCTTAGCCTTAGATCGTCTTGTAAAAGCTGCTTTCAAGTGCCCGAAATTCACTCTTTTCATCATCTTTTAAGCCGTTGGTCCATTTTCAAACACAACGATTTGAAGCTTTTGCCACAAAACACTCAACAACATTAAAACAAAACGAAAATACCTAAAAGTTAAACTTAGCAGCAACTCCTGATAATAATATTCGTTGATATCTGTTTAAGATAATTATTGCACATGCGCATTATAAAAACATGAGATCACGAGTCGCCACCTATTGACTAATAATATAAGTAGCAATTCATTCATTTGGTAGAAAATGAAGTCTATTAATGAATAAATATCTTTAACGAAAGTTACGGAATTAAACATATTCCATTTTCAGCAAATCTATGATATTAATGAAGGTAACAATCTTTAATATAATTACTAATATAAAAATGCAATGAAAAGTGTTAGGAAATTATATAATGTTCAATTTCAAAAGAGAGAGAGAGAGAGAACTATTTGAATAAAGCAAGGGGGAAGAGTTGGTAATTTTTTATGAGGCTTGGATTTTCATTCATGATATGTAGACTTTCTTTAATCAACAGTTCGTAATCATTACATCCATAATTTAGAATTGAAACATTTTTAAGGAAACGGGGCGTGATGGCGTTTCGTTGTGAGAACGTATAGGAAAGTTAGGGGGAATTTAAAGTTTAAGTATTCTTCATCTCTACTTGAAAGTTTAACACGTAAGTTTCTTTTAAATTCCATCTAACACTTGTTATTTCTTACCTTGGAAAACAAAGTCTTATCGTTAAAACCAAGTCAATAAGCTATTCAGATCTTTCTACCCCCAGATTAAACTCCGTATTTCTTCAAATTGTCACTTCGTATCATTAACTTTTTTAGAATTAGAGACATTCTATCTTCACTCTTACGTTCAAAGGTCGTATATAAATATTCAAGTTTTAGCTGTAAACCAGTAAAATAGACAAGACTTCTCGTCATTTACAAATACGTGCCTTGGATAGAGTGACCAGATTTTCAAACAGAAAAACCGCGACAGCTTAGCCCTTACCCTTAATTTCAAAATGGTTATTACAAATTTGAAATAACTTACCCTTTATCTACTTTGCTTTAAATTTATTGAACTGTTCCACTTTTTTGAAATAAGGTCAACTACATTCTTTTGGTCATATACACAAAACAAATGAGCAAAAGTAGTTAAATTATACATCCAAGAAATCTTTGATTATTCATTATATCCAATTCACCCCAAAATAGACTACTTCATCTCTGAATATATTTAAGAATCCATAACATTTTCAAACATACTACTTTTAGGTTTTAGCATTACTTTGAAATTTCTCAGACATGTTTTTTTCTGAAGAATGAATGTAACGTAGAAGATCTGTTTCTTCATTATATTATCATAAAATTTAGCATATGACTTTTTTAAAGTGTGTTTTGACGATGATCATTGCCTTACTGTTTAGACAATAATGAGCAAGTCAAGTAGACCTGTTACATCTGTGGTTCGATGTGACTAACAGTTTGATGTCTGTATCAGGACATTGGGACAAACTACCAAAAAATGGGACTCTCCCAACAAAACCGGTACGTTTGGTCACCATAGCCTTGGAACACACTTAAGTTCCTAACAGAACTAGATTTTAACTTCAAACTCTACTTAATTCTCTTTTATAATTTCACAATGAAACGTTATCACATCCCGTTTCCTTAGAACAGTTTTCAATCTAACTTATGGATGTTGTGATCACGCACTGTTGATAAAAGAAAGTCTACATAATATGAATGAAAATCCAAGCCTCAACATATATTACAACTCTTTCCCCCTTGCTTTTTTCAAATAGCTCTCTCTTTCTCTCTCTCACTGTTTTGAACTTGAATATTTTGTAATTTTTTAACAATCTTATTATATTGTTTGATTTAGATCAATATTTTTTAAATTTTAGACTCGGCTTAATTAACCACTGGATTAATAGTAGCAAATAAAACACTTATTTTTCGTTTCTATAATGCTAATACACAGCCATAGTCAGTAATTTATTTGTTTGCATTAGTTGTGATGTATCACTACGTGATGTTCACTGAAAACGTGATTATGTGTACTTCATTTGTTATTGGCCATAATGTTTCTATGTACTGTCTTTTTAGGCTTGTACTTATATGATAGTTGAACCAATACATCTAGTACATACACTATATTAGATGTTTTCAACTAGGATATTTTTATCTTTGAACCAGAAAAAATGTTTTAAAACTACATTCAGACTTAAGAATAACCCTTAAATTAATACACGGACAAGCTGTAAGGAAAAAGTTTACACATCAGATCTTTTATTAAGTTTTCACATAAAATACATGTTTGCCAGTTTAAGGCAGTGCCACTGATGGTGCTAACGTTGATCTCATTACAACTCCATTAGTTTGGTCATATACAATGTTTTCAAGTGAGATTTCTTTGTGACAAATCTAAAAAGCTGGTGAAAGAAATACATAGGAAACGTTGTTATAATAATTTTGGTTTAAGAGATCAAATGTCCATTCTTATCAAAGTTGAAATTCGGTATTTCATTGGAAAAAATGTCTGAAATGACATATTCGTTTTGTACTAATTGTTCAAGAAACATAACTAAAATTTAATTCACTGTTGTATGTAACAACATTATAATATGTAGTTCTAACAAGTCAACCATCTTTGTGTACTTTTGGAACACGTTCCAAAGTACCTGGGCGACACCTGATGGTCTTGAATAGAAATAATATTTTTGTGTTAGTTACTCTTTCTCCCTTTTCAAAGTTCATTTTATAATTATTTATGTTAGATTATCTAGTTTTTTCTAAGACTTGTTTTTAACGACTAATTTTATTGTATTATTTAAAACATTCGCGTCCCGATGCCACCCCAACCCCTCAACAAAAATTGCGTTCTATACTTTGCATAAGTATAAATATTCATTGTTTGTTTGTTTTTTTAATTATGCACAAAGCTACACGAGGGCTATCTGTGCTCTGCCCACCACGAGTATCGAAACCCGGTTTCTAGCGATGTAAGTCCGCAGACATACCGCTGTGCCACTGGGGGGCGTATATATTCATACTGGAACAAAATAACTGTAGCAAGATGTAAGAGTTAAATTGTTATGTTTTACAATAATTCTATTTTTTGGGGTCTAGTAAAATAATTTGTGTGAAAAGTTGTACGATGTTTTAGCGGGAATTTGAAGGAAAACATTTACAACATCGAAACTACGCATAGTGGTATAACTGTTTATGCTGTGTACATGTTTAAGGAAATATGAATAGTTTTCTATTTGCGAATTAATTTTATAAAATAATATTCCATATCCAATTAACGTATTTGTTGAGTTTATAGTTGATAGAGCCATAGGCGTAATGTTATAGGGTTATTTCTATCTTTAAGTGGATCATAGATTTTAGGTGTTGTTTGTTGATTTATGTGTAAAAAGTTGTGAAATTTACAGTTGCGTGATGTGTTTTTCTTTTAATAGTATTTTGAGTAATTTGTTATTATAGGCTAGTTTTAGGACGTTATTTCACTGGGAAGATTATATTTTTCTGACAATGAATTTAAAATTAAAGAATCATATTGTTTGGTTGGTAGAATTACAATAGAGTTTCCTTTATCAGTTTTCTGGATAACGATAAATTGGTTATTTTTCAAAAAGTTAATTTGTTTCTTTCTGCTGGCATCTGACTCTGTTGTACTTCTTTATTGCTTTCTAATAATTTAAATTTTTTTTTCATTGAAGTCATGTGGAAAGTTTTATATGAACCAGTTTTTTACTTTACTTGGTAGGTTTCTCAGTAAGGTATTACTTTTTTTTTTGAATTTTTGAAAATTTCCCGAGTTTTATATTCTTCTCTGACTTCGAACGAATTAGGCGAGGTTTCCTTGTTAGTTCTCGAAAACGAATTTGGTTGGTTGGATTTGTAGCTTGAATGGATTATTAGTCTTCTGTAAAAGTCTTCAAAGCTTGTTTTGATTCTAAAATAGGGATGCTGATGGAAGTAACTGCAAAATTACGAACTTTGTTTAAAAGTGTAGGTTGAGATATGGTGAGTTGAACTTCTAAAAGATATATTATATTTCTCTCTAGAGAGTCGTTTTTTTTTGATGGGTTGTATCGAATAACGAAATCTTTTCAGCTTTTTTGTGTAAAGATTTCTTTATTGTAAGCTCCTTAAAGCAGTTGCTGTTTTATACTACAGTTGAAATGGAGTTGTGGACTACAGGAATCATAAGACGTGCAAAGTTGTTTCGGAAATTAAGCTGTTCCATAATTTATTTAGATATTTTAAAGATTTTGCAATGAGATTTTGAATTTTGATATCATTTCTAAGCTTTAGTTTTGTGTTAGGAATGCTGACATAAAATACCTAACACACGCATACGCACGCACTACGACAAAATAACTAAAATTTGTTAGGGTTTGTACACCTTTCCTATACAGGGGAAGCATGATTATAAATAATTATGCTTTTCATAAGACATTAATATTATTCATTTTATATTTTTAACACTACATTCTTTATCTACTTATTAGCGATTTTTTTTCAAGAATTAAAAACACGTGTGATGATATTATTTCAACCACAATGTGTTGGTCTTATCCATTGCCGATGTCATGTTTCGCTTAATCAATTTGATTTGTCCTAGCCGGCCTGATGAGCTTTGGATGTGGCTATTGGTTAACGTTACCGAATTGTGAATCGAAACGTTAACGCTTAGCTTCCCGTTGCCAGAGAAACGCTCTTCACACTTTGGGGTCGTGGGTGAACTATAATAGTGACAGTCAACTCCCATTCTTCCATCAGCAAGAATAGCCCAAAGGTATGTTGGTTAGCTACCTTCCTTCTAGCTTGTTAGTTCGAAAGATTAGGACGGCTATAAATTGATCACACTTGTGTAACTTTGCGAGAAAAATTCTAAAAAACGCATAGCTAGTAAACCTGCTGATAAACCGTGAATTATGTCGGAAATACATTTACCGATGCCACGAATTTGACCAAAAGTACGCTGTGAGGGTCAGAGAAAACGTGTTTCAATTAAGGAGGATTGGATTGACATTTGCTTATACTTATGCCACTCTTTTCTCGAGATTGAGTGACAGAATGTCGGTATAAGTATTCTCGTGTACACTTAGTTTTACGCACTTTTTGTTAGTTTTAGTGTTGA